GTATATATCTATCTATTTTATCTTTTTGTCTATTGTTTTATCTATATCGTTTCATCCATCCATCCCACACACACCCACACATTCTAATTCAAATGTGTACCAGAGGAGCGCAAGCTAAGGCAAAGTCGTAAGCTGCAATCTTTGACTTTTTTGTCAAAGATAATTCACATGCTTAACACATGAAAAGCTTGGGAGCTTCAGTCTTGTAGTGTGCTCTTGGCTTTTGGCTCCGTTCTCCCCAAGATCAAAGACGAAGATGTTCCATTCGAGGTTGAAATCCACTCCTAATTGCCTGGCCACTTACAAAATCAATTTGGGATTTAATTGAATCTATAAATGCCTTCGTGGCTGCTTGCACTGTACAATCCCAAAGATTGAGCTATAGATTATTGGTCTTGCCAGTTAAAGGTGTTTAGGGACACTTTACAGTGTGCGCACAGCGAGCCAGTATTAGTATGGTTAAGTGAAAGGAAATTGTTTGGGATACCTCACACCTGTGATATGTTCCAAATGGAAGATTCACATAAACGGCGTTGCAGTATGGTTGCCTAGAAGTCCACAATTATAGTGTTGATAACTGTTTAGTGGTTGTTGTAAGCAAAAAAAAAAATGAATGTTCGATTTTCTCTGAAAGCAATTCAGTTACTCTCTACCATCATTTAGAATGCTTTAAATCGGTTTCTTCAAATGAAAGTGGAAAAATGTGAATCAAATGTGCCTTGTTTAAGTAAATACAATAGCAGAAACAAAGAAAGAATATATAAATTAAAAGGACAAGTACAAAATTCCTGAATGTGAACTTGAGCATTAGTTTTTAAACGAGACCAACCTGTTTTTCTCTATATGGACCAAGTCTGTGTTTATTATTCGACCAGATTTGGGGCCAGTGAGACCCGGGTCACCATAAACTTGAGAAGGCCATTTTCTATGATTAAAGTGCTTTATGTATTTTTACAACACTGAAATAGGAAAAAAAAGTTATATTACCTTTTTTTATATAAGAAATGAAATGTTTAGTTTTTCAAACATTGTTTGCTCTGGACAGTTGTATTTTAGCATTTATAGCAGGTATTTTTTTCAGTAATGCTATCAATATTACTTGGTGCTTGATTAGATTCCAATGAAACTGCCAGAGAAATTGCTGACTTGCCTTCCTTACGTGAAAAGCTGATATGGAGCTATTTTAAGGAAAGACCTGTGTTCAATACAAGCTGTATCACCAACATCTGTGGCATGCTGTTGATTACCATGGACAGTAATTTCCGCTTGAAAGTAAAATTGTTCATAATAATGCTCTTACAATGAAAATCTATAGAGCAAAATATTCCAGATGGTTCCAGAGGATTGTGATTGGTATTTTTTTTTGTTTTTAAACGGGCATGAAACCCCCCTCTTTCAGCTAATTCTACCTCACAGTCTTTTTGAAAAATGCAACTTAAATGGGAGTGGATGGCTGTGAGAAGAAGGGATGAGAGTGGGCGTGGCCGAAACTGTCATCTGTCAGTGTGGCCCATGCCTACTCTCACTAAAAATCAGAGGTAATATGTAAGGATATACAATTTTAAAATCTAATGAAATACATTAACCATCTGTTTGCCCTTTTAAAAGTAACTGAATGCCCTATTAGATTAACCCTGTAATGTGTATGATCACACATGTGTGATCAAAACATTCAGTGCAGTTGATCAGCTGCTAAATTCAAACGTAATTTCGCACTTTGACTGTCACTGAGCCAGAAACAGACGTGCTCAGCTCTTGACAACTGTTCCGTGTTTTCAACCACAATCTTTATGTTAGGTTTCAGACATTTAAATACACATAAGTACTGATGTCTTTGGAAGCGGCTGATCCTTTCAATTATGAATTGACGCCGTGTTTTATTTATATCAAATTTTGTAAGAAACTATAAAGTTTCTCTATTCGTTTCCAACTTTCATGTATTTCAGAAGTAGATGAATTGACGTGTTGTCTGACTGATACGATTCTCTGAACTGTTGCACCCATCTCGCATTATAGATCAGCTAACATAATCATTATTAATGGTTTTTAAACGACAGAACACATTCACTCATCGAGAAAGATGTTGGCAAAAGCCATGGAACACACCTGTACTTTTACATCACGAAAAAAACAACAACAAACTGATGCATCATCAAAGTACTATAGTGCACATGCTATACCATGTGACGTGAACACGATTTAGATTTTAAACCCGGAAGACGAAAACAGCAGAAATATTTAGTGTGCCTGCGTGAGAGCGCCCTCTAGCGTTCAGATGGAGCAGCATTTACTACCGAACAGCCGTGCTGCAATGCGCATAAGATAATTGCAGCCTTTATCAAATCGCATGCGTTTTCATTACAATGAATAATAATAATACATTACATTTATATAGCACTTTTCTCAGCACTCAAAGTGCTATACAAAGAAGAGGGGAATCTCCTCAACCACCACCACCAATTACAATTAATCGTGCAGCCCTAATTGAAATAGTTTATCAGAAATGCATTTTGAGTTGTGTAGGGATGCATTCAATTAAAATGAGTGGGGTTTGTAAGAATAGTATTATGCATTAACTCAGAATAATGGCTATACTTCCAAAACAGTGTGCATTTTGAAGGAGGCATATCATGCTAAATCCGCTTTTTTAGCCCTTAAATGCATTTTGTTGTATATTTGGAGTTTATTTTGTCAACCTGTTCAGATTTTCTGCTCTCTATGACGCATTTTGAACAATTACGTCACAGTATTTGCAGCAGAACTGCCAAATAAGGACATCGACTACCGGCTCAACACTTCGAGCAATCCGCCATTATTATTTCTTGCTCCGATTTTGTAGTCCAAGCTACGAGAGGGTAAGTCAAAATGTTCGGTTGTTGGATTTAGTGACCCACACGCTACATTACACCGTCTCCCAGCATCAGAACCTCTTTGAGGTGCCTGGTTCAGTTTTATTTATCAATGAAATGTACCCACATCTGTGGTTAAAGTCCTTTTTTGTGTGCGCGAAGCACTTCAAGCATTCCAACTTCAACAATCTCCGCCAGTATAAAGAAGAATTCCTTCTATCTTTGGAGATGACAAACAGTGCATTTCGAACCGAGTGTGAACTCAGCAACCTGGAGAGTGGGCGGGGTCCTTTGCATTTAAAGAGGCCGCTTCAAAACGAGTTGCTCACAGACGCACATCAGAAAAAGGGATAGAATAGGGGGCTGTGGAGCTATAATAATGAGGAATTCAGACCCAAGCATTGCAGTTTTGGTTTATATAGACCACAAATTTATAATTATATGTAAAAAGGAACGATTTAAAAACATGATATGTACCCTAATATTTCCTGTAGGGCAGTGGCTTCCCCATACACGTTCTTGCAATATTAGTCACATCATTTTTGTTAGTTTTTTTTTTAAAACTGAGAGACGAGTTCAAGTTATTTTCAGTGCTAATCGCCACAGATGCCACAGATGCTGTCGATAGAGCTTAACTTGTATTGAACCGAGAATGTTCCTTTAACCTTGAGATCAGAACATATCGATATGGCAGCATCTTCATACAGTTGATATCCATGTGTGGAAATTTCCAGAAAACCTGGGTTGCTAGATAAGTTAGATAAGATTCCCACATGAGAAACTTTGATTTGGTTCTACAGAAATAATTTATTCTCGCCATGAAGATCATCCTTATATTTCTTGTCATTTTGTACCTGTGCTTCATTATTGAAGAGCAAAAATATGAAATCATCCTGCCAAAATAATTTTTACGGCCTCATTGTCCTGGACAAAAGAGCTGTAGATTTGCAGACGCTGCAGTCTGACAGATGTTTAATTGAGGCCTACAACTGATGTAGTAGCAGTTAATAATCTGTCTTCACCTTGATACTCCCCCCTGATCCTTATCTGCAGAAGTGTTTTACAGGCCTATTTTCTATTATAGCTCTTAAACTTTGTGTAGTTTGTGTGTGAGAGAGACTGTGTGTATTACTCTTTCTGGCCTGAATGGGCTGCAGTTTATGGAGCCGTTTTATTTTTTCAAATAATAATCTCATTATGGAAACATTTCAGCTCAGGACCTTCTCATAGATGTGGGAATCCAGCCAGAACCAACGCACACTCTCTTGTTTATCCACTGATATCTGAAGCAAATTAAATAAACATTCTTTGAGTAAAAATAATAAAAAATACTACTTAGCCAGGTTTATTAGATAAGCCTGGTTATTATATTTATTTTAATTTACACAAGCCATTAAAATACTTTCTTTCTGTGTGCAAGTTTAACTTAAGATTTATAAAATGACCAGTTTCAGTCTTGGATTCTTGTCAGTACAGTGCTCTAGTCGTCAAAGTTGAGGGGTTGCTGCATCCTTTTAGATTTGCTAATACTTGAAATGTACTAGACATTTTGCTTATTATAGTATGTTATATATTGTGCAGTAAAAATACATGGGAATTTAAACTTAAAACTATGCATTGCACAAACAATATTAAATCAATAGATAATAGACTAGACACTCTTCTGTTCTGTTGTGATCCCCTCTGCCATTCACATTTGGTGCATTAAAAATACAGTTGATAGCATATTTGTTTACAGGTGCAGTGCAGTGAGTGCACATGACCATATAAGGAGAGGAGGAGGAGACAGAACTGCACACAGACATCATTGGTTCTTACATGTATCATCAGTGCAACAGATTTTAATGTGATGAGGTGAATGAGATTTGAGAAGATGGAAATTCTTCACGCTTTGAGAACCACTGGCCTTCATGCCGGTGTGTGTGTGTGTGTGTCCTCAGGTTGATGGGTCGCTGGTTCTGTAAAAGCCAATAGTCTCTGTAGGTCTGTGATGTACTGCTTGCTTTCAAGGGGAAACCCTAAGCACTCTGAAAGCAGACGATCTGATTGGATGAGGAAATTGGCCGCAATAATAACCAGGGCTCTCATTAATATCAGTGCAGCGTCCGCAGGGATCTCTTATTCATCTCTCTCTCTTTCTTTCTTCCTCAGTCTGGCTCCTACCTTTGTGAATAGCTGAATACATTGGGAATAGAAAAACACTGCGTAAGTAAACACTTGGTATTCTGTTTGGTTACAGGCTATAGTGCCTCTGGTATAGGGGGTCGTAGCCTGAATATCTCACGCCACATAAAGGATGGTGCACAGTCTCACAATGATGTTTCTTGCGCTATTGTACAGCCTTTTTTCCTTACAATCTAAAATGACATGGTCTTTTTTCCCCCTGAAGTACAACTGAGCTTTTAAAGATAAAAAAAACAGACATTGTGACATATCATACAGAAAGTCCAAAAGTGAGATTTATAAAGTCATAAGTCTTATGATGTTATAGGAAATCATAGAGACATTTGACTGATGAAACTTGAAGACAATAAACACATGAGTGCAACAATATCTGTTTTCTTTAAGCCATCTCAGATATTTTCAACAAGAATAATGTGTTTATAATGCAACACTAATCTCCAGCCTGTATCACAGTTTACTGTCTGATTCTGGGATAAGAAGTCACATTGGATTAAAAAAAAGAAGAAGTTATTTCAAACACTGGACTGACTGTTGATGACGAAAGGTGTGTTCAAGTCACTTTACCTTTTAATTAACAGCCCATTCTCACCCCCAAGGCGTCACTTAACTGACGCCTTGGGAAGCATTTGGACATGCTTCAATATCTGACGCTTTAGGCGCCCTTTAGCGTCAGTTAGATGACGCCGTAGGATCGGGGCGCCTAAAACGTCAAATATTGAAGCATGGTCAAAGGTGACGCCTTGGGGTGAGAATGCGTTGTAATTAATTACACAAAAATACAGCAAGGCTTTTAAACGCTGCTTCTAGAAAATGAAGAACAAAGAATGTGCATCAGGTGTGTTTTGCTTTTTTGTGTTTTTAATTAATTTATGAAGCCACTGTAAACTTTATCAGTACATATTATGTTGTTACATTATAATGGGGGCCATTATAGTACATTGAACTCATTGTCATGTTCAAGAAACCAATTTGAAATAATAGCTCTGTGACATGGTGCATTATCCTGCTGGAAGTAGCCATCAGAGAATGGGTACATGGTGGCCATAAAGAGATGGACATGGTCAGAAACAATGCTTGGGTAGGCCGTGGCATTTAAACAATGCCCAATTGGCACTAAGGGGCCTAAAGTGTGCAAAGAAAACATCCCCCACACCATTACACCACCACCACCAGCCTGCACAGTGGTAACAAGGCATGATGGATTCATGTTCTCATTCTGTTTACACCAAATTCTGACTCTACCATCTGAATGTCTCAACAGAAATCGAGACTCATTAGACCAGGCAACATTTTTCTAGTCTTCAACTGTCCAATTTTGGCTCTTTTTCCTATTTGTAGTGGAGATGAGTGGTACCCGGTGGGGTCTTCTGCTGTTGTAGCCCATCCGTGTCAAGGTTGTGTGTGTTGTGGCTTCACAAATGCTTTTCTGCATACCTCGGTTGTAATGAGTGGTTATTTCAGTCAAAGTTGCTCTTCTATCATCTTGAATCAGTCTGCCCATTCTCCTCTGACCTCTAGCATCAACAAGGTATTTTGGCCCAGGACTGCTGCATACTGAATGTTTTTCCCTTTTCATACCATTTCTTTGTAAACCCTAGAAATGGTTGTGCGTGAAAATCCCAGTAACTGAGCAGATTGTGAAATACTCAGAGCGGCCGTTTGGCACCAACATTATCCTGCCAGGAAAATAGCAACAGCGCAGGGATCCGCCCACAAAGTTACTTGTGCTTTGCGTTTTGACACTTGCGTTTCAGATGGTTAAAATAGGGCCCATGGTGTTGAATTAATTTTAAATTTGAGCGCCAATGCATTTATTTAATTAATTAATTGACTAATGCTGACGCCATGGGAAATTCTCTTAAAAGTGAAAAGAATGATACAGCAAGATTTCACTTTCATCTTCGGACATGGCAAACTTTTTGTTGTTGTTGTTGTAGATGAATATATGACTTGAGGTGAAGGAAAAACTCATCACACATACTAAGGTAATCACACATACTAAGTCGATCTCTCTCTCGTTCACTGTCTATTTAGGCTTGTTAAGAGCAAATCCACAAAGCCTCTGTACAAATCACCATGATAAACACAGTCTTGTTATCATTATTAACTCATTTAACATGCAATACACATGCATGAAATGCAAAACAGGAAGTGCATAGCGGTATGAAAAAAAGAAAACATTTTAATATATTACATTTGCTTGCATTCTTCTACTAATGCCTGTTATTAGTACTGTAACTTTTATTTGGTGTTAAATTATTGTAGTTGGGTTAGGTGGTTTAGGTTTTATTGTGAATTTATGAAAATTTGTTTTGTATTTACTTATATTTTTGTATTTAAGTAGACTTTAAACTTTTAATATATTGTTCAATTTAAATAATGTTTTCCAATAAAAAAGCTGTTCCGCTTAGGCACCGGTACCGTTTTAATAGTATCAATTTGGCATTGGTATCATAAAAAAACCCAAACGATACCCAACCCTAGTCATCAATGTTTAAGTGTAGTGTGTGTTAAGAGTTCTCTGTTCATTGAAATCTTTGTATCTAGTTCATTCTGCACCACACTTTTTTGGATTATACTACATAGCAATTATGTGAAATATACTGTACAATGGTCGAGCTTGTGCCAAGGCAGACATGTTCCTAGATCAAAATATTTTTTTTTTAATCATGAAACAACATTCCTGTCTGGCAGTTTAGTCATAACCCTATCCCTACTCCTAAACCTAACCCTACCCATAACTTATGCCTAAAATCAGAAGGGAAATTATAGGTCATAAGTGAAATAACAAAAATGTTAAACCAGGAACATGTTGTACATGGTGAAATCACGTTGACCTATACTGTATGTATGCACTATTGTTTAAGTTTGGGGTCTGTACGATTTAATGTTGTTGGCATACGTAAGTCTCATTCTCACCAAGACTGGATTTTGAAAAAAAAAAAAAAATCTAGAATAGAGTAAAAACAGTAATATTATTACATTTTGAAGGTGTGTTTGTGTTGTTACTTGAAATCAGGACAAATTAACACATTTTAAAAATTAACACCAGAATCATTCATTACCATGTGCACTCTCTCACTCACTCACTCACTCACTCACTCACTCACTCACTCACTCACTCACTCACCCACTCACTCACTCACTCACATGCGAACATATAATACATACTGTATCTAGAAGCACCAAGGCTCAGCTCAAGCGTTTGTCTTCTGTTCAGTGTTCAGGTGTGTGCGCTTTACTCTTGAAGGACACAGTTTGGCACAACAGCCAAAGATGAAGAAGGGGGCAGGAAGCATGAAATGAACCTGTCTGAACCGTTGCTGTTCTTAACTCTACACACATACACACACAACCACACATACCTCCATCAGACAGTTTCCTTTCTCCAGTCGTCACTCTCTCAGAGTGCTGCTTTGCTCCAGCTTGCTTGGCTTTGAAGCATCCCAGAGGTGAGGGCTTTAAAAAACCATTTAGCAGGATTGTGCCACACTTATGAAGTGATATGTGACTTCAAGGTGTTGCACTGTGTTAGATAAGTTCTGTGTTTAAGTGTGTAGTGGAAGCCAGTAATTGGCTGTGTGATTTTGGTAGCTGCTTCTAAAATAATTTGTTTGTAAAGCGTAATTTACACGTATGAATTAGATTATTTGCCTACAAAATAGATGTATCTTATATCTAGATGTAGAAGTATCTTACATTAATTATAATTACATTAGATTATTTTATTTTATGTAATTTAATTTGTGTAAAAGAATTAGAGTCGTAGATGAGCTGTTATTGATCACTATCAATGCATTCTATAAGGACAATGCATTATTTGAATTGAATTAATAATATAGATCTATAGAATGACTGGATAGCTCAAGACGTTCTAAACTGCCACCAGGCAGTGAAGCCACCGGAATTGTTCGAGCGGCCACCTTACGATTCCCTACCAGCAGAGGGCTCCACAAAATGATCAACAAAAACTGCCCACAGGTTATAATTTACAGTAAGCGTATACATAGTAAATTATATGTGCAACTGTCGCTATTTCCGTGGTGTTTAAAAAAAATATAGCCTACTATGCATTCTTTCACAGACGTATTCAAGTTTAAACCCAATAAACGTTTTATTCAATGTATTTATTTACTATATTTTCATGTCAATCTGTGTTCAGTTTGACCACGAACCATGCGCTGTCACTTTATTTCAGCGCCTGCAGCACAGCAGAAATAGACTGGGCGCGGGAATGACCTCTGACGTGTTTTGATAAACATAAAACTGAGTCTGCACAGGATGTTTATTTTGAAATTGACAGTGTTTTGACGGTTCGGCTTGGACGCGGTGTCCGTCGAAAAGAGACTCGCCGCCTGTCTTTAGCAACATGCGGCTGGTTCACACATCCATTGACTAGAGTGGGCACGATCAGCTCCGGTAGCCGTGTCGCAGCTGAATGTGCCGCAGACGTGTGCAGTGTATTGGTAAGTAAGAAGTGAAACAGGCCAACGCATTCTCATCCTTTAACGTCATATAGAACGCTATATGACAAAACGGCGCTATACTACGCACATAGCACCCGTTATCGTTAATATAACACGCGCTGTGAGGGCTAAGTTTAGGTGTGGGGTAGGGTGTGCGTGTCATATTCACGCTAAAGGATTTATAACGTCTTGGGTTCGCGTGTTATATTAACGATAAAGGGTGCCATGTGCGTAGTATAGCGCCGTTTTGTCATATAGCGTTCTATATGACGTTAAAGGATGAGAACGGGCTGAACAGGCGTACATTAACCCATACAATTTGTATGCATTTTCTGAACATGTTTTGCTAACTAATCAAACACTTTAACAGATCTATCTGTAAACACAATTCGAAAGAGCTATATTTTAAAGGGGGGGTTGATTGCGATTTCACTTTTTTCATTTTAAATAGTGTGTAATGTTGCTGTTGGTGCATGAACAGTATCTGCAAAGTTGTAGCGCTGAAAGTTCAATGTAAGCAGAGATATCGTCTTTTAAAAATCAGGAAGTATATTG